TGGCGTATTAACACCACCACACCCAGCACAAAAAACACACCGTGACAGACAGCTTGCTAAACCCACGCACTCGACACCCCGACCTTTTCAAGGCTGATTATCAAGTGTCTAGGACCAAGGGTTCCTTGAAGACTTACTTGTGTGTGTTTTTTTCTTAAGGGGGGTGATGAGATTACTTGTAATTTATTAAGAAATTAATTTCATGCAGAAACAAAACAACAGGAGTAAAAAAGGCCCCTACCTCAATTTGAAGGGGAAAAAGTTTAATTTTAGCTTTCTTAAATATAGACAAGATGTGAAATTATCAGGCTGAGAAAATGTTCTACAAAATCCAATTGTTTTCTGAATGTATCTTAAAAATTGCCCAAAGAATACATATAAAGAAAAGTTTTAAGAATTGTTTTTTTTATACCTCTAAAATATAATGGAGACAAACACTTCTAACAATCTTTACAAACTAAAGAGACATATTGTTAATTAAGCCAAATAGTAACAACAAACCCTGAAAACTATCTATAGAATTTATTGTCTTTTAAAATATTTTGCAGAAGACCTAGAACTTGGATTTATAGAATAATCATAAAAATATAATAAGTTAACACTCTTCTTGTCCCCCTTATCTCCCACTTCTTTCAAAAACATGGATGAAAACCCGGGTATTAAAGATGATAATTTCTAACTGAGTATTTCCCTAAAGCTGAATTTATAAAGTTTCTAAAAGCAAGAATTTTAGAAAATAAATTTCATTTTAACATATTCTGGGTCCTAAAAATACTGTCACGTTTTCACAAAATATAAATGAAAACAATTGTATTCATTTTAAATTACTACATTCCTAGATCAAATCATTTTATCTATGGGACATTATATGTAACATTAAAAACATTAAGTTTGTGTTTTAAAATTTCATCAGGGATAAGTAGTTTATTCAAATGTAATGCAGTCATCTAAAGAACACCTTCTTAATGAGCAATGTTACTACATGAGGAAACTTGCTATACCATTTTAAACAAAATTTAGCCCAAAGCAAAAGGGTAGGTATTTCAGCAGATGACTATATTTTCATCTAGAAATTCTTTCTATGTGACTTAAAGCCACTGCATGTTAGGATTTTATATTGATGACAAATTCAACACACAACTCATCATTGCTCAAAAAACTCACAAGAAGTACTACAGTTTAGCAAATGTAAAAAGATAAATTTTGTTCTTTACAGAAAATAAGCAAGGAAGTATCAGGAAAGATAACTGGTAAAAAAGAGGAATACAAAATGAATATCCAGCAATTGCTAGTTTATATATCAGCTGTCTTAGAAAGAAGAAACATGCCACTTTATTTCTTTTAAGGCCTGATGTTTTCTCTTGCCCTTTTTCTGACAACATCCATTGTGTGGTCTCTAAGCAGTCCTACTGCGAGCAGCTGTAGACGCTAATTTGTGGTTCACTGATGTGTCAATTGAGTCTTAAACCAAGGAAACAACAGCTGCAAAACAATACTTGGCTCTGGTGCAAATATTTTCAAAGGTAGACTAAAGTTTCAACTGTTATTTTAGATAAACAAAAACCCAAACCATAACCTTCCATCAAGTCACACAACAAAATAATATGCAGCCAGTTTTAATTCATTACGTAGTGACATTTCTCATCTTGTTGCTGCTATTCAGAAAGGCTTTCAGGACTTTACCTTGACAAAGGAGTTCCTTTGCTAGATGAAAAACTAGCTTCCAGAGCGATTTTGTTAGTTGTCTTTGTCTTGAATGCACTGCTGCCAATATTCAAACCTATGATAAAGCACAAACATGGAGAGTGGGCATTAGCCATCATGCAGTAACAATATGAAATCAATGACGAAGTAGCCTCATCTTAACTTTGGTAAAACAAACCCCAACAGAGGAAGATGCCATTCAAGCCACAGAAAGCAAGAAAGCTTCTGAAGTAAGGAATGAAATGCTGGTAAAATACTGAAAGGAAGTAGGGAGTTTTCCTGTGATATTTAAACGGAACCTACAAAAAGTAAAAAATAAAATCATCCAAAGAGCTCTATTTTAAATGATCTAGATGCATGTGTAAGCACATGGTCTCTACAATGGCACAAAGCACTGGCTAATTCACATTGTTATGACACACGGACAGCGAAGGATCACCAAGAAAAGACGTGCTGAGAACCATGTCTCAGAAATAATGAACACCCCCAGATGACAGTTACCCACCCCATACACCCTTACTATTTTCCATCCCACAGAGAAGAATGAATATCCACTGAAAGCTATCAAGGCCACTCTTTAACCAGCTTGAAAAGGTAGAGGAGGAAGATGTACGATATGCCTCCTTCCCAGGAGCTGGGGGAACTGGACAGTTCCCATGATGTTCCCAGCTTGCAGGAGAATCCCTGATCTCTGCCTGGGCATCATCAGCCTTGGATGTTTCTGCTACAGTTCTGGTTCTTAATTGGCAGTCACCAGAGATCACATATAGAGAGTGCATGGGCATCTTTGCATAAGGCATTTGTTGAGTTTTTAACCTATAACCTACTTGCCTGCATTAACCTCTGCAGCAAAGTGATTTTTTTAACAATGTGCCCACATTCAGCCCAAAGAGGGTTTCCACCTGCTTAACAGGACAAAGTCTTTTCAGACATGAAAACTAAGGCTCAAGGTTTAAGTGGCTTTCCTTAGCAACAGGTCCAGAGACAGAGACCTAAAACATCTGGCTCAGAAAGTAAATGAAACATGGACTGCTTCTTCAACAGTTAGATTTGGGGATGGGCTCC